GGCCTCATGCTGTGCTCCACAGAAGGCCCCGATGGGGCCGCCCGCATGCGCCCGCCACGCCCAGCACAACGTTTCGGGGCACCACGTGGGGCCCCACCCAACATAATAATGGGGCCGCTCGCGTGCGTCCGCCCCATCCAGCACAACGCTTCGTGGCCCCATGGGGGGCCCCACCGAGGGTCACAATGGGCCCGCCCGCACGCGCCAACCACGCCCAGCACACCGCTTCGCGGCCTCATAGGGGGGCCCCACCGAAGGTCGCAGCGGGGCCGCCCGCGCGCGCCCGCCACGCCCAATACAGTGCTTCGTGGCCCCATACGGATCGCTGCTGCAAGTCGCGGCGGGGCAACCAGCATGCGCCCGCCACACCCAGCGCGGCGCTCCGTGGCCCCATAGGGCGCCCAACCAAAGATGCCAATGGGACCACCCACGCGCGCCCGCCACACCCAGCACCGCGCTTCGTGGCCCCATCGGGGGCCACGCTGAAGGTCACAGCGTGACCGCCCGCATGCGCCCAACACGCCCAATACAACGTTGCGTGGCCACATGGGATGCCCCACCGAAGGTCCCATCCGTGCCGTCCGCGTGCGTCCGCCACGCCCAGCGCAGCGTTTCGTGACCCATATGGGGCCCCACCGAAAATCACAGCGGGACCGCCCGCGTGCGCCCGCCACGCCCACTACACCGCGCCGCGGGCCCGTCGGAAGCTCAACCGAAGGTCCCAATGGGGACGCGCGCGTGCGCCCGCCACTGCCAGTGCAGCGCTTCGTGGCCCCATCGGATGCCCCACCGATGTTGTCAATGAGACAGCCCGCGTGCACCTGCCACGCCCAACACGGCGCTTCGTGGCATCATAGGGCGGCCCACCGAAGGCCACTTGGGGGCCGCCCGCGTGATTTCCCCACGCCCAGCGCAGCGCTTCGTGGCCCCATCGGAAGCCCCGCTCAAGGTCCTAGTGGGGCCGCCCGCGCGCGCCCGCCACGCCAACTATAACGTTTCATGACCACGCAAGGGTGCTCCAGCGAAGGCCCCAGCGGGGCCGCCCGCGCCCCCCCCCTTCACCCCTTTTCCCCACCCCCCCCCCCCCCCCCCCTCCTATCACCCCCCGCCCCCCGCTCCCTGCGCGCCCACCCCACCCAGCGCAACGCCCCGCGGCCTCATGGGGGGCCCACGAGAAGACCACAGGCGCACCGCCCGCGCGCATCCCAACAGGAGCCCCGAGCGCGGGCCCTGCGGTGTCAACCTGTCGCCGTGTAGTGGTTCTGGGAGCACCTGCGCGGCGCGGTCGCAATGGTGCAAGGGCCCCGCGCGGGCGCTCGGGGGCTCACCGCAGCCTTGCATGAACCAGGCGCGCTTGCAAATGCGGGGCCCGAGATCCAAGGCGCGCGGCCCCGCCCGCGGGTAGCGGGCGCCACGCCTTGCGGTCGGCCGCCCGCTCAGGCTCGCACCGAAGACTGACATCGGCATTCCAAACGCATTTGGGGTCGCAACCGCGGCGGGCCCGTCAACCTTCAATTGCAGCCGCGCCCGCGCGGGCTTCCGCTGCCTTCGGCGGCGCCGCGCCTCTGGCCCCCAGCCGACTGCGCAACAAGTGCGTCTGTTGCGCTCCGCCCTCGCCAGCTCGCGCGCGCCACCGCGGGCGCGGGGGGCTTCGGCCAGCCGACCAGCGCGCCCAGGCGCGCCTGCGCGCGCCCCCCCGCCAGGAACATCGCGCCGTTGCGCGCCCCCTGTTCGCCGAGAAGGCGAGGGTCTAGCGGGCGAAACCGCAGCGCGCCCGACCTGGGCGATGCCCCCCCCTCCAACCGCCCTCCTCGTCACGCCCGCTGCTCTTCCACCAGCCAGTCGCGGCGCGGCAGGGCGGCGCCGCGACGGCGCGCGTCTGCGCGCCGTGCCTCCTGCGCCCACCCCCCCCTCCCCTCCCCTTTGTTTGTATGATTACAACAAGGCCTTTTTGATGGATTTCCTTGTGATTGGAACGCTATGTATCATCATAGGTTCTTCCTGGGCGCGCGCGCATATGGGTGCCCCTGCTTTTCTTGTCGTAGAAGAAGACTCTGGCATCGATGCCTCTCTTCTTCACTCATCTTCCTCCTCCTCCCCTTCCTTTCAATCGCAGTGCATCGCATTGCACTGCATTGCATTGCATGGCAATCGTATTCCATTGCGTTGCACTCGCACGGCATTGCAATCACATTGCATTGCTTTGAGGGAGGGAGAAGGGAGGGAGGATGGGAGACACGGACGGAAGCTGAGGAGGGAAGGAGGAAGGAGGAGGGGGGGAGGACGGGGAGGAGGGAGGGCGAGGCAGGGAGGAAGACGGCGAGAACGGACGGAGGAGAGGAGGGAGGAGGATGGGGAGGAGGCAGGGACGAACGCCGCACACTTCCACAAATATGACATTTGGAAGGGGGAAACGCTCGCAAATTTTCAAAAATGATTTTTTTTTGTTGTTTCCGTAGCATGCTTGCGGAACGCGGTGCATTTCTCGCAATCCGCGAAAAACAAGATTTTCCAAATGTTATTTTCATTATGACGTTGTGCATTTTTACTATCGGTGTCGATCTCGGAATTCTGAGGAGACGTTTTTTCGGGTGCCTTGCGGGTGCCTTCGGGTGCCTTGCGGGTGCCTTCGGGTGCCTTGCGGGTGCCTTGCGGGTGCCCTTCGGGTGCTCTTCGGCTGTCTTCGGGTGCTCTTCGGTACCCTGCAAGGGGCTCTGGAGAAGCTGAGGAGGGAAGGAGGAAGGAGGAGGGGGGGAGGACGGGGGGGAGGGAGGGCGAGGCAGGGGGGAAAACGGCGAGGACGGACGGAGGAGAGGAGGGAGGAGGACGGGGAGGGGGCAGGGACGAACGCCGCACACTTCCACAAATATGACATTTGAAGGGGGCAACGCTCGCAAATTTTAAAAATGACTTTTTTGTTGTTTCCGTAGCATGCTTGCGGAACGCGGTACATGTCTCGCAATCTGCGAAACGCAAGATTTTCCAAATGTCATTTTCATTATGACGTTGTGCATTTTTACTATCGGTGTCGATCTCGGAATTCTGAGGAGATGGTTTTTCGGGTGCCTTGCGGGTGCCTTCCGGGTGCCTTGCGGGTGCCTTGCGGGTGCCCTTCGGGTGCTCTTCGGTTGTCTTCGGGCGCTTTTCGGTACCCTGCAAGGGGCTCGGGAGGGGGCGGGAACGGAACCCAGGAACCCAGGAGGGACCCAGGAGGGACCCAGGAGGAACCCTGGAACCCAGAAGGAACCCAGGAGGAACCCAGGAACCCAAGAGGAACCCAGGAACCCAGGACCCAGGAACCCAGGAGGAACCCAGGAACCCAGGAGGAACCCAGGAGGAACCCAGGAACCCAAGAGGAACCCAGGAACCCAGGAACCCAGGAGGAACCCAGGAACCCAGGAGGAACCCAGGAACCCAGGAGGAACCCAGGAACCCAGGAGGAACCCAGGAACCCAGGAGGAACCCAGGAACCCAGGAGGAACCCACTCCCTCCTCCATCCACGGCCGTTTTGTCTCAAGCGCGACTCGTGGTCCACGCTCCTGGTGTTAGCTCTAGCGGTTCTCCAGCCCGTGGCGCCACTGCGCCTCCTCCGCTTGCTGAGATGTCGGCGTACGACGACAGCAACGTTGCCGACTGGCTGCTGGCGTTCAAGATCCAGAACGGCTTCCTGGAGGAGGTGAAGAACAACGGTATGCGGGAGACTCGCTCAGACCCAGGCGATATGTTCTACCCCGAACCTTCGCTTCACGGCCACACCGCGGGGCAGACGGTCTATTGGGCCACCAGGGACGCCGCCTACGGCATGAAAGGCACCGTCGTCCGTGGGAGCAGCCGCTTCAACGAGGCTTCGTTGTTGGTATCGTTCAAGGGCGAGAACTACCACGTCAAGCTGGACGCCTTGTCCACGCGCCGCCAAGTGAGAGGCCCCTTTCGGGGGGGTCGGGCGGCCGGCTCGCCAGTCGCGGAGGCCAGCGATGGCGGGGAAGTTTCCTGGCCGCGGCTCCACGGCTACGCCGTCGGGACAACTGTATTCTGGAACGTCAAGAAGCGCCAGCTGCTTGGGCCCCGGAAAGGTGATTCCATGCACGGCATGAAGGGCGTAGTCGTCGGCGAGAGCGACGAGTTCACGGAACCGTCCCTGCTCGTGGCGTTCAAAGGCAGGGACTTCCACGTCAAAGTAAACGCCATATCCAGAAGGCGCCCAAAGAAAAGCCCCCGTGCGACGTCACCCTTCGAAGTTGCCGACGCCAGCAATACTGCAACCGCTGACTGGTACGAGGAGAGCGACGACGCCTCGCCGCAGGTTGTCGGCGTCGGTGACGCACCCAGTGCTGCTCAAAGAGGGCGACGTGCGGCGGCGGGCACTGGGCTGCCTCACATCACGATCGGCACGCGGCTGCTCTTCGTGGCACTGCTCGACGCTGTATGTGGGCCCATTAGCATGCGCAAGGCGCCGTTCGCAAATGTGTGTCTCAAAAAGAGCTTACGAAACCTTGGATACAAAGTTGCGATTGATGAGGACCTGCCCTACTATGCTCTGCGCGACGGCAACCGCTTCCTCGAGCCGCTCGGGAAGGCATTAAAGTACGTCCAAGATCCCCGCCCCGATGCGCTCCCAATGAAGTACGTGGTGCACGTACGCGGCTATCATTTCATAGCTGTGAAAACGTTCGAGGATGGGTATGATGTTATCGACGACAAGGAGTTGCTCCAGTTTGACGAGAAAATTGGCGCCCTCGTTGAAGCATTGGGACCTGATGCGACCTGGTATGCCGTCACCGACGCCTCCGAGGTTTCCGAAGGCACAGACGAGTCGGAGCCACATCCACGGGATTCGGGGGGGAGTTCTCGTTGCTCCAGCGACGCGGGCCTGTGGCCCAACGGTGCCGCGAGTGCTTCTGATCGCACGGAAGAATCGGTAACGGAAGGGATGATGTTCGATCAGCAGGCGTTTGGCGCTTATTTGCGGCGTCTCGACGACGAGGGCGATGCGTCCGACGCTGACCAGAGTTCGTCTGCTCCGGATGACGCTGACTCAGAGTCCACCGACGCCCCAGTGCGTTCCGATGGCACAGAGAGGTCGGATGCCGATTCACTGGGCGACCCGCATCGGGGGGAGCCGCAACTGCGGCATCCGCGGCCCGTCCGTTGCGGCGATCTGGAAGACGTCGACAGATGGGGCGGCATGGACTCAGGGGAATTGTATCCCGACGACGCCAAGCGACGCATTCTGGAAAAATGGGAGCCTGCGAAGTACAGGCGCCTTCAGGGATTACCAGGGCCAGCATTGCAGGCGGAAGTCGAGCCCGACGGGGGCGACGTGAGAGAAGCAGCGAAGAGAATCGTCGCCAAAACAGACGAACTGCTACAAGCATGGGACCCCCAGCCCGCTGGCGCCGAATATTACTGCATGAGACTTCTGACTATGTGCGCCGCGGAGACATCGCATTGGAACGCGAACAACGACCTCCTCGTCGCCCGCATCGCCGCCCTGATCTTGGCCGACGTCGTCGCCCACACGGACGGCGTGAACATTTGCAAGCAGGGCTCGTTCGGTCGGTCCGAGGAGATCCCGACGACTCATATGTACAGAGTCGAATCGGTCCTTTCAATGACACAAATGATGCTCGTAAAACTCATGAAGGCAAACGCCTTGCGCAACGTTGATACCGTGTTCCAGTTTTTAGAGAGCGACGTGGGGACTTGGGCGTCTGGGGACCCCGTATGCTCTATCGATTTACAAGGCAAGAAAGATGGCGTGGCTGCGTGGGCGCACGACGCGTGCAAGGGGCTCAGAGACATCGTCGGCCGATTTACAGGCAAGATGCAGTCTGAGAGGCTCGTTGAGCTGCTCGGTTCCTGGACCCACGTGCCCAAGCCAGAGGCGCCGTTCGTTTCGGTTGCTTTTGAGGATTGCGCCATCAAGATCGACGACGGCGCCTCGAGCGCTGCCGAGAGGATCGTCCAGATTCCGAAGAAGAGAGAAAACCTATGCTACTTCGGCATCCCAATGCAGATTGTCCCCGCCCCGCCGCAAAGCGTCGTTGAACGGCTAGCGCTCTTCCTGGCAACTTCTTTTGCGGGCGGCGAGGCAGGCCGCGAGATGGATCTCGCCATGGAGGCGCTTGCGTGGATGGGGCTCCCAACTCCTCCTGTCATGGTCACGCTGACGGGAAACGGGGGCAATTCGAAGTCGGCGAGAACAGCGTTGCGGAACAGCGTGTTCGGCGGGCATCACGCCGTCTTGGCAGCTGACGTCTTCCAGGAACCGCGGGAGTTCAGGCAGCAGGGCGGGCAGTTCGCGTTCGCCAAGTGTCTCGCCGTCCAAGAATGCGCGGCTGGCATTGCTTTATTAGAAGAGGTCTGGAACAAGTTCGCATCCGGGGAATTTATGGCGCGCAGGCCTCTGTTCGGCGAAACCACGCAATACTATAGATGGTTGACGTGCGCCAAGTTCTGGGAGACGAACAGACAATTCCCACGTATTAACGGCGATTATAAAAGATTTCATGAGCTACGCTCCATTTGGCGGCGTTTGAGGGTCGTGCTATTGAAATCTGCATTCACTAGCAACCCTGGCTCGATCGACGTCGACGAGGCTGTGTTTCGTGAAGATGCAGACTTGATGGCGTTTTTGGAGGGCGACCAGACCCGCCTCGCTTACATCAAGTTCTTCCTGTGGCCGTTCATTCAGAAATACACTGCCAGCCGATGCCGCCAGGTGCTCTTGGACCCAGATCAGTCGATTGTCGAAGAAACCCGAAGGGTCGTCGCTCAGATGGCAAACGGCGGCCTCGAGGTACCAGCTGAGTTCATCACAGAGGCCGAAGACAGGGCGCAACTTGATGCAGCCAGAGGGATCGTCGAAGCTGATCATAGAGATGCAGCGGGCAAGGCGACGCTGAAGCTGTACCAAGTCAACGCGACGTGCAAGTCCGTGCCTGGCGCGTACAGACCTGGGACCAAGGGAAAAGCGACCCGACTTGACAATCTCATGGGCGCCATCGATCGGTGGCCTCACCTGATAGATGTAAACGAAGACACGAAGGATCGGGTTCATCGAAGCGATGGAATGATATAGTCTTGAGCGTCACCTCATGGGGCACTGGGCGAAGGGGCGAGGGCGCACGGGTTTGCAAGCGACGGGGCCATCGGGGCTGTGGCGGAAGCACGGCGGGAGGGCAGCGGAAGCTCGCGGAAGCGTGAGGGGGTCGATTCGGCTCCCTACCCCTGGGGTGTTGCAGCCTTGTGCGTACGGTGGTGTAGGATGCGCGCAACGTGCTCGCGCGTGCGTGCGTGTGTGAGTGCGTGCGAGCGCGCGCGCGCGAGTGCGCGCGTGCGCGCGCGCGTCCCGGGGGGGGGGCGCCCGCAGGAGCTACGGTTCCTGAATATCAATTACGCGAAGTTCTCCGAGATCATGGGCAAGTACGACGACGGCGTGTTCGGGGGGGGCTTTCCGAATTGGCAATCTGTGTGGGCGTGCAAGAGCAGATTCCCGCCGCTGGCGTCCGTCGAGCCAGAGCCAGCAGATAACAGAGTTGTGGCGGGGGAATCAGTTTGTGTCATCGAAGTGGATGGATGGATCAACGCGTCCCGCCTCGAGGAAGCCGCGGGCGCGGGGGCCGTGTCAACCAAGGTCGCGCAGGTCAAGCAGCTTCTCGAGGCCCACCGCCTTCGCGGCAGCAGGCGCGGCGATTGGGGGGTGCCCAAGGTCGCCTACCACCGCAAGCATGGAATACCTGGCAGGTGGTACGCGGCAGGCCCTGCCATGCAATCTTTTTTGAGCAGAGGCGCCAAGAGCATCGCCATGACCACGGAGATCGGGGCTTCGGCGGGCGGCGACATGATATTCGTTGACGTAGATATAAATAACTGCTTTTGCACCATTCTCGTCAACCTCCTGAGAGAAGCCGTTGCCGACATGGAGGATTTCCGGATACTCGTTAGTTTCAGCGAGAACTACAAACAGTGGCGGGCGTTCATGATGGAATACTTCGACATGCCCCCGAAGGCTGCCAAAAAAAGCTTAATTCGGTTGGTTCACTTGGGGAAGCCATCGCACGACATTCCTTTCTTGTGGAACTTGTCAGTGCAAATCCACGCAGCCGTGGACATCGTTCTGGGCATGGACCGTTTTGGGTACTTGGCGTCCCACTTCTCGGAGAGGCCGAATCCCCGTGGGTCTCGCATCCACTTTGCTTTGGCCGCGGTGGAAGAAGACATCATGAACGACTTGGTGCGCGGATTACCCAGTCACGTTCCGAGTTGCGAGGTCAATGCCTTTTTCTTTTCATCTTTTTTTCATTTTTTTTTTTATTTTTTTTATTTTCATTTTTTTTTTTTTGTTTTTTTTTTTTTTTGTTCTATTTTTTTTTTTTTTTTTTTTTTTTTTTTTTTTTTTTTTTTTTTTTTCTCATTTTTTTTCTGTTTTTTTTTCTTTTTTTTTTTTTCTTTTTTTTTTTTTTTTTTTTTTCTTGCTGGACGGGGCCATATTGCGGATGCAAGAGTCGAGTTTTGATGCTCTACTTCAGCACCTCGAGAACGTGGGTTCCAAGCACGGCGTGTCGTTCTCGACCGACAAGTTCGACAGGCTCGGCGGCGCGCCCATTGCTTTCTCTGCAGACCTGATAGGCAGATTGAAAGAATAAGTAAACGCCGCAGACCTGAGTACGTGCAAGGACGGTCAGAATCGCTGGCGATGCCCGCACTGCCCCTATCGCCACTTCCAGCGTCTCGCATTCCTCGAAGACCATCACTGGTACCATCAGCAAGAACCTGTTCTTGGGGGCGCATCCGGTCGCCAGGCGATGGTGATCGAGAACATGGCGAAGATGGATCAACTACAAATCAACGTTTCCTTTTGGACGGGTGCCAGGCAGCATGGCGGCGAAGGCTACTTAGGACGCAGCGCCCAGCTTCTCCGTGATTCCGTTGGGGTCGACAATTTGCGGAATGCGAACGTTGTCCGTGCTCGCGTCATCCTCGACGTTCGCGGCCCCCGCTTTGCTGTCGACGACCAGGGCATCAGGATTACCCGCAACTACCGCGTCACTCCCGAGTTTCTGCTCCTTGTGGTGTCCTTCAACGATAGTCGCACGCAGAGCAAGTACTTGCGAATTCGGGACCGCATCATTGAGCACTACATATCGCACGGTAGCGAACTGAGCTTTGCGGTGCCTACCATGAATACAGTGTGGGAGCAAATTTACAACGCTGGGGTCCAGATCTCTGCGGCATATAAAAAGAAGTGCGTCGACGAGTTGAGCTTCCGCGTGATGTCTTTCGATTCATCATATAAATACACGCTAGCTGTGGTCGGGCAGACAAGCCACGGAAAGAAGAAGGACGATTCCGATCGTTCTGAGTTCCACTGCGTACACGTGATGATCGCGGACGGCGTGCCAGTATCTTGCAAGCCAGGGTACAGCGAAGGAGTTCCAGAAATTTCAGATTTCATCAAGGCAAACGCAACGCTTGCGCAAAGGCGCCAAGCGGAGATTACCCTTTTTGATACACCGGAGAAGTGGGACATGCAGGAGGCGCAGAAACTCTTTCCGAACCTAAAATGCGTCGGCGGTGACCCTCTACACGCGTGGATGGACTTAGTGAAGTTCATCAAGGAGGGTGACCAGCTGAGCAGGGACTTCAAGAAAATCGTTCTGAAGTTCAATGGGAGACCTGCGCCGAGTCTGAAGGCGAAGCGCTACTTCGACGGGGGCCAGCCCAGGGGTCGGGCGTACGTGGATTTCAAACCGTGCCCCTCGGATCTTCGCAAGGCGCATGAACGTTTGCAGACAACGGCTTACCAGGAAAAGGCTTACCTGAACCACAAACAGTATTGCCTTGACATCATGGCAGCGGTGAGCCAGAACGAGAGGTCGTGCCAGAGACCACTCACAGGCCGCAATGCCCAGTCGACGGTCAGCGATCTCCTCTCCAGGTACATGGCGCCCGCAAAGTATTTGTACTACCAGAACATATCCGTGCACAGAATGAGAACGGGGCTGCCGTGCCAATACGGGACAACTCCTAATGAAGCAGTCATGTTCCAGCTGAAGGCGTACAACGCCAATGTTTTCGCATCGACTCGCCAGCGGTGTGAGTTCACGTTGGACTTGTTCACCTTCGGGAAGGTTGTGTCACTGCACATGAAAAGAAGAGCGCCTGAAGGGATGTCCAAACTTTCCCCCGTGTCTTGTCATGCCCATGCGATGGCCCTCCTGAGGCGACAGCTCGAGTTGGGACATGTGAAGGCTCCGAGCTCGAAATGTGTAGAGGAGTGGCAGGCTCCCCAGGTTGTGACAAAGGGGAGCAAACGCAAGCGCAGGAGCGCCAGCGCGCCAGCCAAGCGCCAAAGGCGCTAGCTGCATGCCAACTGCGTAGGCATCATTTCCCATCCTTGCACACCTCTGCTCCTTCACTGCATTCTGTCAGTTTGAATTGCTGCCCCACGGAAAACAGAAGCCACCTGAACTTAATTTGGCGAATCGAAATGGCCTTCGGCAGTTCCGTGGCCCCCTCGCATTCTGTGGAAATCTGGATCCGGAATCTACCGAATTACATTTGAATTAAACATATTAAGAATAGGAAACATTCGGGATTAGGTTTTCCTTGTTTTTCATTTTTTTTTTTTTTTTTTTTTTTTTTTTTTTTTTTTTTTTTTTTTTTTTTTTTTTTTTTTTTTTTTTCCTATTTTCCTCCTCCTCCCCCCGAGGGCCCTGGCCCTCCGAGCTGCCCAAGGGCCTTCCGCGCAGCAGAGCGGGGGAGGAGGAAAATAGAAAAGTATGAAAAACAATGAAAAACTTGTGTTTTCACAGAGAAAAATAGGAAAAACTAAAAAAAGAGCGACAGTCACAGGTTTCGTGGCTTTTTCTTATTTTTCTCTTTGAAAACACAGGTTTTTCATTGTTTTTCATGTTTTTCTTATTTTCCTCTTCCTCCCCCCGACGGCCCTGGCCCTCCGAGCTGCCCAGGGGCCCTCCGCGCAGCAGAGCGGAGGAGGAGGAAAATATGAAAGGATTTTTTGCTTGTAGGAAAAACAGGAATAATAACAAGAAACCTGGACGGGATGATGCGGGGTGTTTTTAACATGGAAAAATATGAAAAACTAAAAAGAGAACGACCGTCACAGGTTCCGTTGCTTTTTCCTATTTTTTCATGTGAAGACACAAGTTTTTCCTTGTTTTTCCTGTTTTTTCCTATTTTCCTGGCAAGCTTCCGCGGCCCCTCCTCCCTCCTCCCCCCTCCCTTCTCCTCCATCTTTCCTTCTCCACTGCAGATACAATCGGATTGCAATAAGAAAGCAGTACGAACATAATAAGATTACATTCGAGATGCCCCCCTCCCCCCCTCCCGCCTCGCACGCCATCCTTCTCCAGAAAGATTGTATAATATTCCATCATGAATATCAATGTTTGCAGGGCAAAAAAGCGGCGGTTGTAATCGCACAAACAAAGGGTTTCCTACGCCCCCCCCCCCCTTCCCCTCCTTTGGGCCGCAGGCGCGGCCATGGGTTCGCCGGGCCCGTTCGCAGCGCCTGTCGCCCGTCGCTCAACGCTTTTCGGCGAGTCCCTTAGCGACACCACGGCGCCGCCACCGCCGCAAAAAACCCCCCCGCCCGCCACCCCCCCCCCCCCCTTCCCCACCCAACCTTGACCTCCCTTCGCCCGCGCAGGCATTGGCCCGACGCACGTGCGCCGCTTGAGCCGTGCGCGAGCATGTCGGGGCCCTCGCGCCCGCCGATCCCCCGCGCGCCGCCCTTGACGCCAGCGCTGCGCACATTCGGCGGGTCCCGCCCCTCACCCTTTTCACCCGCCTTCCACCGCCCCCCCCCGCCCCCCGCCCCCCTCCCCGCCGCGCCCCCGTTCCTCCTTGGCCGACGCTGCCATCTGCCACGACAGGCGCGCCCGACGCGCTTGAGCCGCGCGCGAGCATGACGGGGCCCTCGCGCAAGCCGCTTCTCTGCGCGCAGCCCTGGGCGCCGACGCTGCGCGCCCGCGGCGGGCGCGCCCCCCGCCCCTTCCCTCCCCCGCGCCGCGGCCATCTGCCCCGACGCGCCCAAGTCCGACCCACTTGGGCCGCGCGCGAACATGGATGAGCCCTCGCGGCCGCCGCTTGCCACCGCGCCGCCCTGGACGCCGACGCGGCACCCCCTCGGCGAGGGCCGCCCCGCGCAATCAACGCGCGAACAGCTGACGCGCAATTGGGCGGCCTGGCGCCCTCCATGCACGAACAGCTGGCATGCGCTTCGGCGGCCTGGCACAATCGATCCAGCGTCGTGCACTTCGGCGGCCTGGCGCAACCCGCGCGCGAACAGCTGTCATGGACTTGGCTGCGCGCCGAGATCTGCGCGCGCGCGGCGCGCAGTCGGGCAACCTGGCGCATTCAATGCACGAACAGCTGGCGTGCAGTCCGCGTGCGTGCGTGCGCCCGTGTGTTTGTGTGTGCGCGTCCGTGCGCGCGTGCGCGCGTGCGTGTGTGCGTGTGCGCGTGCGTGTGTGCGTGCGCGTGTGTGGGCGTGTGTGTGTGTGTGTCTGTGTGTGTGTGTGTGTGCGTGTGTGCGTGCGTGTTCGGGAGGGTGTGTCTCTTTGGTGCGTGCGTGTATTATGGTGCGTGTGTGGTGTGTGTGTGTGCTTGAGAGAGAGAGAGTGGTGTGAGGATGGAGACGAGAGATGAGAGAGGAGGAGAGAGCGATGAGTGGATGAGAGAGAGAGAGATGAGGAGAGCGTGTGTGGCGTGTGTTCTGCGCGTGTAGCGTAGCGCGTGCGCGCGCGCGCGCGCGCGTTCGCACGCGCGCGGCGGCGGCGATGGCTGCGGGGCAAGGGGGGAGGGGGGGGGTGGGGGGGGCGGGGGGGGGGGAGGGGTGCTCGCTCTCCGACGCAGGCCTGCTGCTGGAGTTCGCGGCGGGCGGCGCGGCGGAACCCTTGCGCGGCGCGCCCTGGGTCGCGAACTTGCGCGCCCGAAACTCTCGCGCTCGGTGGCGAGGCGGCGCGCCTTGGGCTCTTGCGCCGCGCGCCCCGCAGGGGGGTGGGCGCCCGCGCGCGCGCGCGCCATTTACGCCTGGCGTCGGCGCCAGGTGATCCCGAGGTTCCAACGCCAGCTCTCGCCGAGAGCAGATGTGATTTACCATATGAAAATCACGTAGGCGCGCCATGGATTGAATCATGGAAGAAACATTCATTCCACCACCGAAAAAAAACATCGAAGACACATGCGAACAAACACGTTTTCATCATCTGCAGATCACGCGTGCCACCGCGATTTTAACATAAAGCGTTTACGATTTCATCATGATTTTATTACGTTGCAATCATACATTGCACCATTGAAAAAAACACGTATGCGGTCACGAATTGATCACGAAACAATTACAACATAAACATACATCCAATCACGTATAAAACATACATCCCAACATACAACAAACATACGCCCATTTGTGATTGTATGTTTCCTCATTGAAAACATATGAAAATCATACATACCCTCCTCGATATCAATCATTTAAAACTCATACATGCGGGCATACGAGCGACTACATTACAAACATAAATCAAACACAAAAACATACAATCAATCACATAGAAATCACACATGAAACACGTTTCAATCATATATATACAATGGCGTATCCATTACGATTTGAACA